TGAGTTTTTCAACCATCTACAGCTGTTCTTAGTCAGTATACGTGCCAACCCTCCACCCCCTTCTGCATCTGCCGTCCGGCTATAAGAGCGGAAATTAATGGCTGATTCGAAGTCCCCTTGATTTTGCTCCGCTGTTTGGGGGGAGGGGAGCGTGGTGTTTTGCCCTTACGACTGACTGCAACTTTTATGACAAAGCTCAAGTACATAGCTCTCCAGGCAGACTTGAATAGCTGCCGTCAAAAGTGTTCAGCGGAAATGAAGTTAAGTGGAAAAGTGGGCTGCTGTATACGCCACGCCATACAAAATGACCAGAATACAAGTTCGGGAAGGAAAAGTGTGAGTGACAGCCAAACACCTGTTTGGTGTTCCTTCAATTTTGCTCTTTTCAAACCACTAAATTTCTATTCAAGAGCCGCTACTGGCAAGGACAGAGGAGATTGGTAGGGCCATTTTGGCCAAACTGCCATCGTCAGTTAGTTAAACACATTTTGATGTTGGTGGTTCCATCATGGTCATTGGTAAGGGCCGGTTTTGTAAAGTTTAGCTGAAAACAACCTTTTTTTCAGGGTCTAGTGGTCGCCGGCTTATTGCTTTTGTCATAAGCGGTCGATACGTAAACGATAGTAACTAACATGAAAGGGTTTTTTATAACCCTATTTATTGTAGTGAGTTGTCATTACGCTGAAGTGGGGGGCTTGAAAGGGTTGTGCTGCACTTTATAAGGAAAATGGCACAAATTAGCAAAACTAGACCAAATGAAGAAAAACATGTTGTTTTGAAAATAAAAACTAGTTTATTGAGCCTGAACACTACGAGATAAACAACATCGCATTGACTAGTCTCGGGTCTTACTGAATAAACATTGTAGACTGTCGTAGACTGTGTACAAACTGTTGTCATCATTATAAAATAACAAAAGTGCGCTAAAAAAAAACACTGACCCGTAAACATCGAACGCGAACTGAGCAGTTTGCAACAGGCCGACGTCCGCAAATAAAAACATTCGAGAAATGTTACCTGTGAGTTATCTCCTTATTCTTGGCAGGATAGTCTTCTAGAACATTTAAATGCTCCTTCAACTGAGACGGTTTTATTTGCAGCTACCTGTGGCCAACCTGATAGTACTTAAAGTCAGAGAAATCTGGAGTTGGCATCTCGGACTTTGCCCGATACTGGAGTTTATAGCTGCAGCTTTCTAGTCGGAAATTAATCCTGGCAAAATGGAACTGCACTGCACTCATGGGGTCCTGCAAACCAATAAGTTTACAGTTTTGCCTGTTTAAAAATGGCGAGAGAACCGGAGATTAATGTGACAGTTTTTCAACTAAAACCAGCACAAAAAAGACGGTTCATTTTTTACTAAAGTTTTTGTGATGGTTGACCAACTGCTTCCTAGTACTGCGTACATAGCATGGATAACGAATAATTAATATAAGTCTAAGCGTTTCGGAAAATCAATAAGAGGACAGCAAGTTCATAGTCGAGAACGCATATGGGAATCCTGATTTCGTCCTGGTACTCCTTAGCCCTTTTATTAACGCACCACTTTTCATGCTATAGAGCCTTTTTCTATAGCACTTCCAAGTGACTTTTCCCATCAGCTATACTGTGTGTCCCGAACTATGAACTGGCTGTCTCCGCTGCGCCTAGAGGCAGTTGATTAATCCTCCCAAAAGTTTTTGCTATCGGTATATCAAAAGACCTAGAAGAAGAACTTCAAGTAAAGAAAGACTACTTGGGTACAGTATTTCTCACAGCAGGTTGTGGTGTTAGTGGAATGGATAAGTTTAACGATTTATAATCCCTACTGTACTTATCTAAATGAACAAATGGTCAGAACTGGCTTTGTTAGGGAAACGTGTGGCGCTTTGTTGACCAGCATGCATATTACGTGACTACAACATATTAAAATAGTGGCATATCACACAGAATGCTAACTGAAATTTGTTTTTAAATAGAAAAGATTACCTAGGTACAGGTGCAACGTTAATTAGTTACGCAACATAATTCAAATATATTTCAGTCGCGACAGGATGCCAGCTTTTTTAATGTCGCTCATTCCGACGGGCCTACAAAAAATCATACTCTGCAAAAAAGACCTCGAATGTACTATGATTTTTGCCCCGGACTTTTGCTACACTTATAAAATCAAATATACTTTGTAGAAAATATATAGTAGACATTGTTTTTGTACAAAATTTGTAGTAGATTATGTCTTCCTGAAATGGTCACTCACAGAGCGGGTTGCTCATAATTTCAAAATTTTTCCAGTCCCGGAATAGTTTTGAGCCCAACCTATCCTTGCGCTTGCGTCAAGAAGTTTCAAACTGCAAACTGTATACTTTCCGTGTAGGGACGACCATGTATTTTTCCATGATATTAAGAAGCTACCATCTAGAACTCATTAAATTGTGTACTTCATAAGGACCGCGTTGTATAACCCAAAAGGGCATTACAACAGAACAGATTCGATGCTATTTGGATAGGCATTTCGAGGTTTTATAAGATCCCACAATCATAAACTTCCCTCAAACCGAAAGCTATTCTTTCTTTGTATATAAGATGTGAATAATTAACGCTTTACAAACGCACGTTTTCACTTATTCCTCTTGAGGTCTGTGGAATAACTTATTTGCGGTAGAGCAGCAAACCCGAGAACAGCCGATTAACAGTGGTCGCCGGGGAGCCGGTAAAGAGAGTTCAGACATGTCAGAACCGAGGTGATTACATTTTACTTCTGCTAGGGGCACAGAGAAGGGGGAGAAAAGGAGGGTAATTTGCCAGTCAGTAATGCTGACGTTTCGTTGCTGTAACCCGACGTGGCAGGATGACTGTGCAAAACATGAAGAGCCTAACTTGAGCCAAGGATGCTTAAGGGCTAGGACGAACGCCTTCGGCCAGCACAAAAAGTAAGTAGGTTAGCTGTATGACCACCGCCTCTGCCGTCGCAAGTATCCGCCGGCGCAAGAATTGTGAATGCCTCGCCGACACTTTATGAATGACTCGAAATGCCTGGTTGACGTCTCGCCAGTTGTCGCTGTCAGCCAAGTGAGCCACAACTACTCTAGAGATAGTCTTTTCCATGCCTTTGTGTCAACCGGATCGTGCTCTCGCATTCACTTGGGTAGGCGCCTTGCCATTTGACCAATACAACCCGCCCCACAGGAGCAATTGAAAGGGTAGATTCACGCTGAGTAAGTTTGAAAGGACAACCTATCCCTGCCTTCAGGGCGAAGTTGCGGAGTGCTCAAGAAAATGAGTGTACGTGCGCGCAATGGCGGAGTTCAGGCGATGTTGTAGAAGGCGTTGACTGAATTTGTGGAGAAATAGGCCACTGCTCCTCATTATTACTTATGGCAAACGAAGTTCGCCGTGGCCAGTCAACGTACAATTCGGAGGTCAACGCTGAGGACTCGGGTCATTTGGACAGTGCTGTCGACGGGACTAAAGTCCAGCATTTGAAAATACCTTTGTTTTATTATCCGACTAGTTGTGCCTCACGTCCGCGAATCCCCAAGTATTCGCTTCACAACAATTTTAATCCCGCACTATTTATTTACAGTTTCTAGTTCCCACTGAAAATCAGACCAAAAACAATAATGCTGCATAGAGCTGGAAGTAAAGAAGAGGACTGTTTGATCCTCGGAAGACAGGCTCACGCAGACACTCATCAAGACTTCTGTGTAGACGCCGGTCGGTCACTATCAAAAGTAGACCAACGCGATAAAACCAAACAACAGAGCTAGAAAAAGAACGCCTTTGGGATGAAACCAAGTATGAGCTCCAAATGACAGAAAAAATAACTCATCTTTCCGTCAACTTAGCTCTCTCATCCTTTTCTTGATTATTCATTTAACGTGACCGCGAACCACGATCAGTCTAGGGAACCTCCGCAGTAAATTTTGGATCGAAGCTTAGAATGTCTGGTTAAATATACGTTTGCTGATACAAAGATACAGGACGCTGAGTATGCATAGGGTCCAGTATAATCACACTCAAAATATGGCGGCCCTAAAACCAAAAACCGCTGCCCATATATTGTCAACAAACACCGCAACCACATGACCGAAATCTAAACCCCTTCGGTGAAAAATATTGTAGATACCATTAAAAATTTACTCACACCATCTTTTTCCTCTAGTGAACATTTCTCTAGATACGCCTTACTCTGGAGATTTCACCCTTATATAAGGTTTTTATAGTGTTCCGTGACTGCAGATGTGTCTATTTTAACGATAATAAAGGAAGGACAACTTCATGGTTACTACTTACTTTTTCTGTCACTGTTTCACTTACAAATCCATTAGCTCCATCATAACCGGTTTTGTGACGAAAAGTTTGTTATTCAATCATGAATTTTAAGTACACTTGGTGATGGTGAACTGGCAAAGTAATACAACTGAGCAAAGAAAGAAAAGTAGCTCTTGAAGGGCTTTTTGCCGAAAAAGGGGAATGTTTATCTAGGTCGACGCGTGGCCGGAGCTTAATCCCTTTGTAACTACACGTGGCTGCGAACATAACAGATCCTTTCAGGAATATCGAAAACAACTTTAGCTGCTCGGGACGTGTCTCGTATCTCCAGCGTAGAGTCAGCATACAGAAGACGGCAACATATGTAAATGGTCACTAGGGTTTTTAATTTCGGAGCACAAAAGGACAATATGAATAGCCAATTATGAGGAGTGGAATATGAAAATAAAAGAGCACAAAAGATGATCTTGTGCGGAAGGAAAGCTTCCTCTAGGAGGCAAATGTACGTGCAGGACGACTTGGGAAGCAGGTTGCACAAATAAAACGAATCATGTATATAAAAGAGACACTTCACTGTGCACGACGTGGAAGAGAGTCAACTGCACAATACGGGGTTTCACTGACAAAGTTGTACAATTGGGTCTAGTTTTGTTGGACGTACACGAAACAACTGATCAGTTAGGAGGAGAGCAGCAAGGTTGAGTGTTTTATGGGCAACACGGCACGCCGGACCAGGTCGTCCACTGAAATTAATTATGCTGAGTGCTGCTAGATGGACCATCCTTGTTGGTTTCCTCCTCATGGAAAAGCGGATTGGCTACATCGAACTCCCCAGCCTATTTTGAACAAACAAAAGAGAGCGAACGATGGAAGGATTGAAATTAATTTTTCATGCATAGCGGGAATCAGAACTCAGCACAGTGTGCATTTTACTTGAAAATTAATTAACGAACTTCCTTTAGTTTTCCCTTACGGGCGCAGGTAAGTGACTAATCACTTTGGCTACCCATGGGATCAGACTTAAAAAGTCAGTCACAATGAGAGCAGTAGTAGGTTTTCGCTGTTAACTGTTTCATAATTAAGTTTCGGAGAAGCTTTCATTTTTCGGAAATCTCTTATTTTGTTATCTGCCTACACCTTTGGCTGTTCGTTTTGGGGAAATCAAGTAGCTACCTCCAAAGTCCAGTTGCGTGTCCTATGGCTTGGAGTTTCACTTAAAAAAACTGATTCCAAACCGCTGCGGTCATTTCGACTGAAGAAGTTTTCAGGTAGGATCTTCCAGAATATAGACAGTATGCCTTTTCGACACAGGCTTATACTTTCGACATGCGCTAACATGAATGTCATCAACACCAGAATGAAGTCTGATAAAGCACACTATAAAACGCCTGAATTGAAAAGGCATTTACTTTCAGTCGATATATTTTTCAAAAACTTGAGCAAGTCTCCGATTAACGCTAAAAAGGGTTAAAGTACTAATAACAGTATAACGTTCGTCGGCGCAAGAGATAGTTACCGTTGCTAATCCGGGACATTCGTAGACGTTTACATTTGGTTCCTCGACTTCACTTCCACTTTCAGGTTCGCTTTCAAAGGCGTGGGTCCTCCCTGAAGCCCTGTCAAATTGTTAAAGGAAAGAAGCATCTAGTTAAAAGGTATTTCTTTGTTTTCCTTGCCCAGTAGATCAAACAGACCGGAATTTAGTAGATTTCTTACGCAAATTTGCCGTATTTTAGCCGTATACCTAGGGCCTTAAAGGAAACTGACCGTTTGCCTTTTTTGTGGTACTGGACCGATATCGTGGCCCTTTTCTTCCATACCTATTAGATTTATTCACGTGCGCTACCTACCAGCGAATACTTACTCTAATTCTTTTCTAGTTTCATCTGTTCAAAATTTGCCTATGGTTGTACACTCTAGTCCATGCTTTCATACTCGCAGGTGTCCTTCAAGGCTGATCGACAGCTGTAGTATTCCCTTAGTTAAGGCCTATGCCTGGTGTGAGAGCTTCCTTCTCGTAAATTGATACATTTCGGATAAGGCAATTTGTAAAAATCGGCAAAAGTCGGTTTCTGGCATAGGAGCATCTGGAAAATAATGAGAAAATACAGAATTCACATAGCCTATACTCCTGTAGTCTGTCCTAGTGCATGCCCTAACTGTTGCAGATATTTATTATATGAAGTCTGTCTGCTGAAATTATTCATCTTCGAGGTATCCCAAGGGAAACGTCGCCCAGGCTGTCTTGGGCTGGTCTATAGAGTCAGAAATAGGGGAATATTGACCAAACAGCACAGTCGGCGGTCCTGTTTTTCGTGGCTGTACCAGTAAACCTTCAAAATCCGAATTTGGCCTTGACAGTTAGTCATCAGTTGGGATCACAAGTCTGTTAATTCTGCGAGTTCCCTATTTCTCATAGTTTGCCACCAGAAATATAACTATTGGTAAGATTACGAATTATAGTGAGGATTTCTTGTGCTTCCCCTGCATGTTTTTAAATTTCTGTTTTCTGGTATGACGCTGGAAAACTTTCGCCGCGTGTCTGATTGAATAAACCAATTTGAATTAAACAGGAGACCCACTGTTCCATTGCCAACATCTGCTGCTTTTGCTGTTGATAATGGTACATTTGGGCAGATTTTGCTAATGACTGGTCCCCGGATGATGTCTGTGATTTGTCCGCCGCCGAAGTCTCCGATTTTCCATGTTTTGCTATCGGCATACCTTCATCAGCTGGGTCTCCGAAGGATTTTCTGTAAGTACAGATAATAACTACTGTTAAATCGACAGTCCATGGCCGTCAGCGACAATCTACGACTATACAATGGAGTTTACGGGGACTGCAATCGGCTATGCAAGACTTACTTTTCAGCAGCGTTAGAGAACCACAAGAGTAAAATAACCTACTACCATACTTTGTTAGATTCATTTCTAGGATCGTTAAGTCGCAATCCTCTAGGCTACAAAAGCTGTGCCTTTGGAATATTTTTCATCTACCCACCGAGACGTATGGAGAATATAAAAAATGAAAGGACTCAAGCCCGTCTGAAGAGGGAATAAGAGTGGAAGGGAGAAACAGTTTACAGCGGTCTCGCCAATAAAATGGTATCTAGGGAGTTTATTTTATGCGTTTTGTGAAAATACGTCTACCTGGTGAATGCCATTATTGAGCTATCTGGCTTGAGCCCAGCACAAGGCCTATTTTCTCGTTTCCCAAGACGGCTGCAAATCGCAGGAGGTGGGCTTTGAACTCAAAAATTGCAGCCAAGGTCTCGGACGTAATCGGTTAGGTCTACTACGCGCCTTATCGCCCGTTTTACTGAATACAATTTCAAGGACATCTATTTTTACGTATATTCGTTATCTTATTTTTTACTAACATAAACGTTCTTCCAACAAATCCTGCGAAAGAAGCCCCCAATTTTCTTCGGCAGCTCATCTGTACCTACGGTAGAAATTTCGTCGTGGTTGTTGTTTATGCCGCGTATTCGTAAGCTACTCTTCCAGGCGCATTTTTTGTGAGGCCCCCTTTCAGACTTCCCCAGTTCACCCTGTCAATACAAGCAGCAACGTAAGTTCTACAGGGTTACTTCCAAGACGAACCCTTCATCGTTAAAAAAAAAAACCAGGTGCTCTGGGCTGGCATTTCGACTTAAAGCTCACACGCATCGCCGAAACAAGGATAACGCGTTTTTATCGATAAGACTTAAAGTCAACATCATCGCATACGTGGTGATTAATAGACCATGAGTGAGTCACTAGTCTTGAGCTCTCGTTCCGGTTGCTTTGACGCGTTCTTAACCGCTTTCGCCAATTTCTTGTGGCTCCACTTGAACGGTTATGCCGGTTTTGACGGAATGTATATAGAAAACCATTACCAAGTGACCTTTAACTTTTGCGTCTCTCATCTACTTCGAAGAAACCTGTCTTTTCTAAATCAAAGGTCTGAACCGCTGGCGATGATTCAATTGGGATTTCTGACTCAGCATCGTCCCTTTTGTATGACCATTCTTGCTCACCCATTCGCCTTCCGCTTAATCCTTCCATATTTAGGGCAAAGTTACTCGTCTGCCATCTGCGGCGAATACGGCACAGATCATTTATTACTGTCCTCTTTTCTAATGGGTGTTTCAGTCCGATTTAACGGCTTTGGATGTCTATCCTGGGCTTTCACGCAATTCCTCCTTTGAAAAATGTAGAAGGGCGGCCGATAGATTTGAGTCGTTTCTTAGTATATGGAGGTGCTGGAGCGAACTTTGGGTATATGTAATCGACTCTTCTCCGTGCTTCATGCGCCCGTTAGTGAAGAAGTTAAACATCAGAAATATTAAATTTTGATAGCTGTTTTCTGGACAATCTAACAGAGCATCTTCAAGTAATTATTTTGGTGGCTGGCCCAGTTGTCGCTCTCATAGCTCACAAAGCACAGCATCCAGTCAGAAATTTCCAAGATATGAGAACCAAAATTTCTATTTAAATTTTTCAAATCCCTTTTCGATTGACCCGGAAAAATACCACGCTCCAGACTGGAAACGCCTGAGGACAGTTACATTTCCACAGAAGCGGTTTACGTAACGGGCTTGGGAGTGCAACAGCTTAGTCAACATTGACAGGCCCTTTCAATCTCACAGGACATCTCGGTGGACACGCATCTTCAATTATTGAATGACAGTCTGTCTGTTGGTTTCGATGATGTCCACTAGGGTGAGAGTAGGGATGGTGACTTGTGCGTGAATTAGTTTGTACTGATGGTGGACTTCCACAGCATCTATCGTACCCCCTTCTGCGCCCCCACCTGGGCCCGGTGTCATGACCAAGTCAAGAAGACCGGAGATGGAAGAGGACGCGGGTGGTCGGCTAGACGAAAACGTGCACCAAGGCGTCCCACCACACTCGCCGATCCACAACAAACACTTGACCAGGATTTGGAACCACAACAAATATTGGGGAGACGGCTCCGATCCCAATTGGCGCGGCCTGAGCCTGCAACTGGACCTGCCATCATACCCAGAACTTTGACATTTGTTGGGGGTGCTCATTCCCGATAACGCCGGCCGGGCTCCGATCTACCCCCCCCCCGTGTTAGCCCGGAGCATCTACCGCGTGGAACAATGATTATTGATTACTAACTGGCACGCCACCACCGATGGGAGCTGCAGACCCTAGGTTCCAAGACGAAAAAAATGCCCATACCCGTCCTGTGATCAGGACAACTCGATTCGTGTCAATTCCAGCAACCAAACGTGTCCTGTGTAAGCTGCATGATTTTAGATTATAATATAATGGAAAGAACGACGTTTGGTAGTCAAGTGAGTCAGGATAGTCCTAAAAGTGCAGTCTGGCTTTGGGACATAACTAGCCGGTGACAGTGAATAAGCCACAACCGACCTTTCTCACGTTTGACTCCGCCAAAAAAATTGACGACTCTCGATGACAAGTTTTGGCAATAGAATGAAAGGTGAGACAGTAGATATAGCTCTTTCAGTTGTTAAGACCTGTGTTAGGCCAGATGATTTTGGAAAGGAGATGCTTGCTGCAATGTTTAAGCCTGACATCTGCGTAATTTCGAAAGACCAGCTTTTCGATTCCGACTGACTTCTTGCCTGCATTTTCCTTAGTCCCCCTTTGTGCATCACGGCCAGACTCGTAGTTAAATAGAGTTCATTGTCATGCTGAAAAGACCATAGAGTAATTTGCCAAGCGGGTATTTGGAAGTGCGGTATTTCTGAGGTAAATTATAAGGTTAGTCTGCCGTAGATCAGCGATAAGAACCAAATTCACTGCAAAATATTTTCTTTATGTGTTCGGACAGAACACGGGAATTGGAGCCCCGTAACAGGGATGGCTTTGCGCAAAATGTCAGGGAGATCAGAGTTAAGGTTAAGGTCCGGGTTAGGGTTAGGACACGAAAATAGGTACCGGTAACAATCGGGAGAGGGCACCCAAAAAGATACTGCCGGCCAAAGCAGCGATCTTATAGCAACTGTCCTAAGCTATGCAGCCATTGACTGAGCCGCACACTGGCGACTGCGATAGCTCCTGACCTCTGGAAGTAATGGTAAAAATTAATAATGCAAATGTTCGGTCAACGGCGATCGTATTGCAATTGCCCGTAGGTAAGCTACTATAGAATAAGCCGCATAGGGACTACTGCGGTCGCTTGTCAGCAGTGGAAGCTTATATTAAGGTTGCTTAACGTAGGGTGGGTCTACGGCGATCCTTTCGCAACTGTACAAAGTGTATGGTGCCATACCTACAATTACGGTCATTCCTCACCTAAGGAAGACATGGCCATAACGGATAAGCCAAAGGGCCGGTCCACGGCGATCGTATCGTTGAGCGCTTGAACGTATGCTACCACAGATTAAGCCGCATATCGACTACTGCGCTCGCTCTTCAAGCTGTGGAAGCTAATGTCAAGGGTGGTAAACATAGGATTGGTCTAAAGCGATCATTACCCAACTTTCCTAAGCCATGCTGTTCTAAAGTAGGCCGCAAACGGACTAATGTCGTCGCTCGTGACCTAAGCAAGCATATGTGAAGGATGGCAAACCAATGGTTGGTCTACAGCGATCGTTTCTCAACTCTCTTAAGGTATGCAAGGGTAAATTTAGCCGCAGACCCACTACTGCTGTCACTCTTCAGCCGTGTAAGCCTAGGTCAAAGTTGATTAATCATGGCTCGGTCTGCAGCGGTCGCACCTCAACTGTTGGAGACTATGGTAATCTAAGTGAGGCAACACGTGCACTGCAGATCAGATAAAATCGAGGCCGGATGAAACAACAAATATGCAGGGCCATAACCTACTCAAATAGGTATAGCAGGTAGTATTTCTAGGCAACGGATATTTGGGTGTCCTCTCCCGATTGTTACCTAGGTACCCGCCCTGGAATTCTGCGCAAGGCCACCTGTATTACCGGGGGAGAGAATTCTATTGCCATGCTTTACATGTGTATTTTCATTATTTGTTACTCCTGTTCCTGCCATTTAAATTGATCCTTTATAAGAAAGTACCCATCAAGCCATTGCTACAGGTAAATAAAAAATCCCGATTTCCCCTTTTTTGACTAGACATTGTTTTTATGGTTCATTGTTGTAGTCCCTTTTGATCGTAGTTTGGTCGAAATTTGGGTACATGTTGTGCTTAACATGCTCCATACGCCCACGAAAAGGCAGGCAGACTCATGCCAGTCGAAAACTTACTTCGGCCAATACATCACGCCCAAGATGACACCGATGACAGCCGCCCCAACACAGAGGATGGACATTACGGCTAAAACGCATGAAAGAGCAGTTTTAAACACACATTTGTCTCTTTATATTGAAATTGTACACAGAGGAGACTTGGGACTAGAAGTTAAGTGCACAGCATCATTAACGATAGCACACACGGTGTTCGGAATCTGGGAGTTAGATGCAAACCAAGTATTATGGGCTGAACCAAAGCTTATACAATCGTACGTTTCTTGATTTGGACTAGTTGCATTTGTAAAAAATACAATAAAAGTCAGTTGCGCACTTTCTATGCTGCCTTTTTAAAAATTATGAAAATATTTTTTCCAGGAACGGAAAGTCTCATAGAGATGCGCAAAACAAAAAAACCCTTCACTTAAAACATGTTTGCTTTTAAACCAAAAGGCGATAATATAAATGTTTTGACAACAGTTCAATTAGCGCCCTCTTGGTCCCTTTTTGTGTAGCCTAGATAAAATTCAAAAAAATATTTCACTAGACCTGTTTATCATGCCCTTTTTTCTCTTCGCTAAAGGGGTGCAAGGGAATGGCACATAGCTAGTCCACCTTGTTTGACCCCTCCCCCCATTTCCCTAGGCACTGCATGAGGTCGACAAACGGGGTTGTCATTCAACCGTTGGAATTCGACCACTGCAACATGCCCACTTCTTGAAACCGCTTTTATTAGAAACCGAAGAACAACAGAAGGATGCCGGTTGTCTTAAGTTCACGAATGAGACCTTACCATATTCTCCTCAAAGACACCCTTAATAGCTACAAGTTTCTTTGCACTGAAACGTACAGTCTTGTCTTATTTGCGGTTCAAGTCTTTCATGAGCGCCGATGGACCTTTAAGTGGTGCGCGTCATGTGAGAGATTGCTCGAGGAACGAACACACAGTAGATGCGCTAACTCCTAAAATGTTAGCCGAAAATCTGAAATGCGTTTCCGACCCAAAAAGATTGCCTAAAGTAGGGTTGTAATACTAATCGCCATGCAGCATAATCCCATGTCAAACGGGTTACCGGATCTTGTGCAGTTGCGGACAAAACAACCACGTCGGAGAAACTGGAAGGCTGTTCCGGACGCGGATTGCCGAGCACGCGGCAGCGGTGCGGAGAAATGACACCAAGTCTCAGGTCGCGGCCCATTCGACGAGACCCGGCCACACATTCAAGTTCGATGAGGCCGAAATTATCGCGAGGGGGGATAATCGCGTGAACCGTGAGTTGTCTGAGTCATGGTTCACGGGACCTCAGTCTGTTAACAAGTGCAACGACATCCCAACTCCATATTCCGTGCTGAGGCATAATCTGGCCAATATAATTGGCCACTCGGGGAGCGCGCAAGCCGATGAGCCAGATGGCTGAGCAATCATCACGCCAGCATCCAACACGGGTGACGAGATTTCAGCAATGAACAACTCGCATGCCGGCCATCAAGCAATTAGCGCACCAGTGGGCAACAATTCTTGATGAAGGGGAGCGCGGCTAATTACTATAGGTATGCGGTGACATAGCGACTTCATCCTATAAATAATGCAACTTCCTGTGCACGAGTCACTCTTTTTGCCATTGTGTATGGGAATGGGTTTAAGTGAGAATCCGAAACGTCAGGCGAATAAACTCCTTGTTCCAGCGGTCGCTTCTTCTTCTTCTTCTTCTTATAAAGTGCTGATTTTTTCGCCTTGATTCACATATATTTCACAGAAAACATGCATGAAAATATTTATCCTTTTACTCACTTGGCAGACAGTTACGTCTTTTTCAAATCGCATACTTGAAAAAAGGGTATAACTTGGTTTTAAAAAGTTTCCCATTGTGAGGTTTTTAAGACTGTGAAATACCTGTTCACAAAACATCGTGTCCCTGCATTTACTAGTGTTGCTTCTAAAGTTTACAATATGCCCAAATCCATTGATAAATTTTATAAATCCTGTTGCCGCCTCCTCTTAATGCGGTTGGAAAGTGTATGATTTTCCGTACACGGAAAATATAAAGCTTGTAGTCTGGAAACCCTGAATGCAAGTGTAACGGCATGCCGGTTTCAAAATTACTCAGTAATTATAAAAGTTTTTAAAACCAAATAATTCCCTCCTTTCAAGTATTAACCTTGAAGTAGACGTAATCTTCTACCAAGTGAGTAAAAGGATAAGCATTTTAATGCATTTTGTCTATGAAATATATTTTGGATTTATAAGGGCATTGAAAATGTAGGCGAAAAAATCCGCACTGTCTAAGTAGCCAATTTTTGTCGAGCACAATTTTTGCAGGCGGCCGAAAAGAAGGTCGCTCAAAAGCCAGCCTCATGAAGTAACCGAATTATCACGGAATTATGCTGCACGGGGATTACTACTACAACCCAATTCAAGTAATCTTTTTGAGTCGAAAACGCATTTCAGAATTTGGTCAACATTTCATGAGTTAGCACAGTTACTGTTTGTGGATGCTTTTGTGAGATTTCCTACCTTTGTCTCATGTTTCATTGATGAAGGATGGACTAATTTCTGCAGCATTTATTCAGAAAACACTTAGTATCAGATTCTGGAAGCACAGAAACGCGCTTTTCGGGAAATTATTTCGGACTTCTCCAGTCCATTGTGTGACTGAACGGTTGGGTTTTAAATATCTTCCCACTCGTCTTGGTCAATCGCCGCTGCCTGTAATCTTGCCGTTTGTCGAATAGAGTAAATTCAGTTTTAAGTGGTTGCATTTGTAGAGACTTTAAATATTCAATTTTTAGAGAGGCGACACGTACTAACAAATCACCGCCTATCGTAACTTTGGACGAGTCATGGACTTTCGTCAACAAATTGCTAATGATTTTTGGAATTCGCTCAAAAATTCTCCAGGATCTTAAGCAAATGCATGTTATCGACCACAATAACAAATCAATGTCACACAGAATCGGGAGCATTTGAATGCGTTGAACCATGAAATAGGGACCTGAAAAGGACTTCTTTTAGATATAAAAAACCGGTCTAAAAGATAGTTCAGTTTCCCCAATGCGTCAGATTGGTGGAAACACACACACCCGTGTTCTAATTAATGAAAAAAGTCGACCTTAGGTTGTCGACAACTTCAGTTAAAAGACTTCTATAGCACCGTGTGCAATTCATTCACAACATACCCTCGAGGAATGAAAAGTTTATACGATTAACAAATGAAACAACTTTCCAGGAAGTATACCATGGCCTCCTGATACATGCCTACTCTGTGCAGGCAATTTTTCCGCGCATTACAGTATCCTCACAAGAAGGATCAGACGCAGCTTGGTTGTTGCTACGTCCTCATTCCTCTTTGTCTGAGCATCGCAGTCATCCCCGTCCAATGGGGCTTTCTGTCTCAGTACAGGATTTTGTATTTTGTTTGTGACTCCGGGTTTTTCATAATTCAAAAGAAAGTCAGGCAAGAACCCAGTTTGCGATCCCACTCAGGGAAAAAACCAAGTCATCGTGTTATTCTGTGTCCTCACCTTTTTATAGTTGACACTACAGCGCTTTCGTGATTAGACGGAAGTTAATCTACTTTTGTGAAAACAAACCGGAAAAAACTGCAAAAAATGCCCAGCTTTTGCTTCGGCTGTCAGATGTGTTAGCACCCTTATCATTTTTCCGGGGATCGGGTTTCTGTTCACAAAGATTACAAACTGATACAACACAGTTTTACCAAAAGACCATTGCTTACTTGCTGTTTGCCAACTCGGACCATGCGTATGACCTAACCCTGTAGCTGCATATCCCGTCAATCTCTTGTATTCATCACCAGGCACAGAAACTGGGAAAAAAACAAAATTGCGTTATGGTTAGTTTTTGTTGTTCTTGCTTTTAATATTCAAAAGAATTCATTTTTGGAAGGGCGTATATAACATCTACATACGCAATGCGACAATTTAAATATGCTTAGGGTTAAGCCATTCGGAATTGCATTTAAGCTACTTTCAAGTTGGCCATTTCGAACAGACCAGTTATGTTGAATTGATCAGTTTGACAAAACTATCGAGTTTCCAAAATGTTCTCCAATAATCAAAATAGGACGCAGACTCGTTACTTGAATTTCTGGAATGCCTTTTGTGGCAATTTTCAGCAGCTCTGCTTTGTGCGGCCGCTATAAATATACCAATTTGGCATCAAGACAGCTAAAATGGTAACCACCGTCTCAGGGACGAAAGCAGTATGCGTTAGTTCGCGTGTTTAATGGGAGAGACTGTAAAATCTGGGGGAACGAGGCACCGGGCGAGGATCCACGACCAAACATGTTTGGACTGAATAAACAGCCTTTTTACTATAACCGGCCTTCGCAGGTGTCTTATTGTAGGAATTACAGACTGTGCCCTGTGTCTGTCGTCATATCCGCAAGTTCGCTTCTGAGCATTCAGTGGACAGGCGCTATCGTTTGACGCGCTGGATTTGCTGGCTGCGCCGATCGATAGCTTAGGCGTGTAGCCAATCACTGATCAGACCATTTGTGACGCAATTGCTAGACGTTGCTGGGATCTTGTGGCTCAGCAGTGCTGCTCTCATGGCGAAGTCAAGCCGAAGATTGTGGGTGTACTGTTATGCGCCGTGAGATGATGGCCGATATTGGGGACACAAACGTAAAAAAACAACTTGAAGTCCTGCCTCCAGAAGCAGGGAAAAGCAGTTTTGTGAACGAATTAACGCTCATGCGTAATTAAACGTGATTTTGATTGGCCAAATGGTTTAATCATAAAGGTATTTTACGCATGCCTAGTGCGCATTTGCTGAGAGATGCGGTCGCGGCCTGAACTAAAGTAGGAATATGCATATCTCATCTTTGCAAGTTGAGATAAGTAGAATCTAAAAGACTAATTTGCTAAACTTCATTCGACTAGTGTTTGTATGAGGTATCTAGTAGTCAAAACTTTGTAATATTTTAGTTCTTACCTCTCACAGAAATGAATTCATGGAACAAGATTAAGAGCTGTGATTACAAGATAATTTGACGCAGGCAAATTCTGACTAGTCAGATTCTTGCATATTAAAGTTTCCCGGATGACACAGCTGACTTTGGCATTAATCGGGGAAAATTGAAGTGGCGGTCCGCATAAAAACTGCGATTGTTGCTTTTCTTCGAAGTCATTCAAGAGTGGGACCACTATTATTGCATTCCATCTCGTCGAATTCCAAGCTATGCAAGCCTAGGGTTAAGTGTGCCTGACGAAGGCTAATAAGTCAAAAATGACTAACCCAATCCCCCCTAACTTCTTCCTACATCCATAAAGGTCGCTCCACAACTGCCAGCGTGGGCCGTAAATTGAGGTCCAAGACGCAATAGGGAGAGCGGATCCCACAGTTTGATATGGGAAAATCTCAAGGAAAAATGAGTTTTTTGACAAATTGAACAAACTTTATTTCATAAATTTTCGACGCTGGTTCCCCAGGCTGTCGTCAGACGTGCGGAAAACGTGAAAAACTGTTAAAATGTAAACATGCCCGAAAAATCGATATTACTTCGTCAATGCTGGGTATGGGTCGATGCTGTGGGCTGACATCACGTTCTAAGTGGCTATAACCTTTTCCAATTTTCTTTTAGATTTATGTACATGACGTCCAGATATGTAGGTGCCCTCATTGACGCATGACTCATCAGAGTGAGTGACCTCTAGAAATTCTCGGCCTTTCTTATATGGGCAGGAAATGACAATGCGCGTTTTATCCAAAGCAAATTTGTGCCTAGATTCTAGAGCGTGCATGGCAACTTAGGATAGGCAGTCCTGCCTCTTTTCTGCCAGCTGATGTTCATTTTGGCGTGTAGAACAGGATCTCCCAGTTTGACCATAGTATGCCGCACTGCAGGTGTCGCAAGGAATCTTATAGACGTTTTTTTCTTATCCAAATAGCCAACCCTATTCTCGGGGTGTACAAACTGATTGTGTCGCATAGTCGTCGGTTTGTGTGGCACTTATATATGGTGTTTCCTAACGTATAACAAAGACCTGGGGAACCAGCGTCGAAAATTTACGAAATAAAGTTTGTTCAGTTTCCCAAAGGACTAATTTTTCTTCGCATTACATTATAAACATACACTGGTCCAGTAGGCGCGTGACCCTCACTTGCTGTGGTTGATACTTTGCTCAGTCCCGTTAATTTTATATAGTCCACTTCAGAGGGTATATAACGGGCCTATGGCGCACAAACTGTCGGCAAGGACTGTAAAACAGCCAACTGCCCCTGGTATGTTAATATCTGAATGAGACTTTTATATTATACATCGGACAGTATGCCAATTTATGCCATTTACTGGCAAATTTGCGCAAAACAAGGTTCTTATGGTTGCCATGTTACATTATTTTCCTTTATATGGAAACGGTCCGTCAAGTAAAGCTGTAAACCACAAAATTCAGTTAACAAATTAATCTGAAACATAAGTTCAGCTTGAGAGTCGGCATATATCTTATTCTTCGCTCATTATCCTTGATCTTTCGTGGTGCAACAACGGAGGCCTACTGATTTAAGTATCTCGCTCTGTAATAAATCACCATGTTTACTTTGAAAAAAGCAATTTTTATATGATAACTTACCCGTAAATGACATGGGTTTGGCAGCTTAGCACGATGCAAATGATAAATGCATATCAACATAAATATGCAATTGGGCAAAGGTCGGAAACAAACAGCGATTTGTGAAGATGCTGAAGGTACTTTCACAAAATATTGCACGATATTGTCAGTCTGTTATAAATAACTATTTACTGAAGCATGATTAGTACTTCCTTTGTTTATTGCATGCATCGGCGTCAGTGTAAGGTCATTTGTTATCTTCGGACAGCCCGGAGGGCAAGCTCGATTCGCACGGTTCATATTTTAGGGGACAGCATCTGATATTGCAACCGTCGCACTCTGGAGGAATCGATTTTAAGGAACATCCGCATAACTCATTAACCTCTTTTTTTTCCGCGCGACAAACATCTCTAACGTGGCTCTCGCAAAAAGTACAGTATGTGGGCTAACTCATGAAATGTCTACCGAAATTTTGAAATACGTCTTGGTTTCGGAAATATTCATTAAGTAAGGTTGTAAAACTAATTGTCGTGCAGCATAATTCCATAATAATTCAGTTACCTGAAGATGCCGGCTTTCTAAAGAACGTCTTTCCGGTTGCATGCAATAACTATATCCTGTAAAAAGTGACTACTTAAATCGCATTGATTTTCGATGCCCTTAAAAATTCTATTATATTTTATAGAAAGCATGCACAAAAATATTCATTCTCTTACTCTGTCGGTAGAAATGTACGTCTTCTTCCAATTCTATACTCGAAAGAGAGTATAATTCGGTTTTAAAAGTTCTAGTTATGAGATTTTTTAATGTCGTGAAATGCCCGTTCATAAAACGTCATGTCTCGGAATTTACCACCGTGACTTGTAAAGTTACCGATATGGCTCAAATCCACTGCTTAATTTTATGAAACTAATATTGTCTTCCCTTAGTACCGTAGAGAAATGTATGGCTTTCCGTACGCGGAAAATATAAGGCCTGTAGTTTGGAAACCCTAAATGCAAGTGTAACGGCAGGTCGTGTTCACAATTACTCCGCAAATGGAAAAGTTTTTGAAAACGGAATTATACCCTTCCCTCGAGTATAAAATCGGAAGAAGACGTAATTATCTACCGAATAAGCAAAATAATGAATATTTTTTGCATGTTTGCCAAGGAATATAATTGAATTTTTAAGGGCATCGAAAGTCAATGAGAAAAATGCCTGCTACATAAGTAGTCATTTTTTCAGAACATGGTCGTTGCATGCAGCCGGGAAGACGTTCGTTAGAAAACCGGCATCTTGGGGTAACTGACTTAGCATGGAATTACGCTGCATGATGATGAGTTTTACAACCCTACTTAATTAATCTTTTCAAAACGAAGACTCATCTCTGAATTTCGGTAGACATTTCATGACTTAGCCCACTTACTGTAATTAAATGGACATACAATACTTTCGAATTTAGTCGAGACAAGGACATTTAGCTTAATGATTTTTAACAAAATTTTAGATATTTGCTTTATCGAAAAATTGCAAATTAGCGCAAACGACAGTGGTTGGCTTACATAAGCTTAATCAGGAACCATCACTATTTCTAAACAACTCAAGAACTATGCGTGAATAGGCTAAAATATACATTTTAATGCACAAAACTCGATAATATGCTCTTATTCTTTCATTTTTCCTCTCCAGTTTGTAAAGAAATATGTCAAAAAGGTGTACTCAACATAATATCCGATAAATATTGAGCACTGCACAATATAACTTTGAATTTGCAGGCATCTTCCCAGATCCAAAAACATTAATTTGGGGCACTTTTAAGACTATATAGCTATTTTAACTTTCCTCAACTCCTGTGTAAATCGTGGTCAGAAAATCCTATTTAAGCCTTTTTAAGTGTCGCCTTTGATTTGGGACATACGTATTAGTGTTTAACCAAACAAGAATCAAATAATTGTTCAGAGTCTTCATGTAGAAATATTTCACATCCAAACTTTGTCCTTGTGAAAATGGCTTCAGAAGTTTGCAGATAGGAGGAATATTTGATATATTTGGAAGGCATTTTAGCACAAAATCCAAAGGTTCGTGATTGCCGTTCAGGAAAGTGCACGAAAATGGATCTCAACCTGCATTCGCTATCCACAAACGTTAAAAGATTTCTTCGCCTCAATGTGGGGGATTATATAGGATTTGTCTTATATAAACCAGGTGTGACGTAGTTTTAAAATCGAAGAAAAACTGAATACATGACTTACTTCCAAAACCATACAGAGAATAATAAAATTTGTCACAAGCCAAAAACATCATTCCATTAAACATAAATCTCCAACAAGACACCTGCTTCTTAACAAACAGGAACTCAATTAGTTATTTGCACATCTTTATAGGCAACATAATTAAATTTGTACACATAGCCACAATTGAAGAGCAAGTATTCATCATTTGGGTAGTGAATTTTTGTCAGTCTTTACTTCTCAGATAGTTAAGAGGACGCTTAAACACAAGTCGATAAAAATAAACTTGAGATTACGTTCCACTTTTAATCGGCATTACAGCTCCAGTTGTGTCTACTATCACATTTCTGTATTTCAACTGGTGCCTTCCTAAGGTGGTTGCACACTGCGAGCATTTAATTGTCCCTTTCGCTGTTTTCAAACTGTCTGCTGGCCCTGGTTAATGCTTTTTTCGTGTTTTAAATTGCCGGAAATTGTGAAAATTACCGCGCTCTGCCTGTCGTTTGAAGGTCTCGTAAGTATCCATGATGCTGGACTGTTCAGACTTCGCCGGCGCATCGCTTTCATAATTGTTCCGCAATACTACCGGATCCCCGTCATCCAGCTCTAAAATTGAAAATGAATTCAATTTTTTGTACGCTGCTGGAGCATACACCAACAACATTGTCTTCTATAACACAGAATTCCTCCTATGTTCTTCTTGTTGGCCATCCAAACCATTACTCTTCAAAATACGGCCGGTGTAGAAATGACTACAATCGATTTCCACAGTATGATACGCGATTTCAGAGGGCTTTTAAATACTGCTAGGCCTTGTTTAAATCAGGTGCCCCACAGTTTTCAAAATCGAAAAACAACTGAATACATGTCTTATTTCTAAAACGCGTTCGTCTAGAACAGTTTAGAAGAATCATTTATACGTTCAGATTTCCCCATAAGTTACTAACGCTCCCTGACTTCGTAGTGTATAATTGTCATGTCGCAGAATACTTTATAAAAACCTTGGAAAATTCTTGACAAACTGAAGCCATAGGCAAAACTTATGGGGATTCAAGGGATCCAAGAAGTGTCTTCTGGTGGTTTTTCGAAGACGCCAGCTTGAAGTTAAGTATCTTTACTCTGATAGTTTGATGAGATTTCTCCTATGAGGTAGTTGCGGAGAAAACGCCTGTAATAGGCATAATTTAAAGGAAACATGTATTGCTTCAACTCTTTATTATCACAAATTACTGAAATAGACACTGAAGAAGATATTAAAAGGTGTGCAGAGCACCTTTGGTAAATACAGTGCGTGACCTTTCTCATGAAATGTTGGCTGAAATTCTGAAATGCGTTTTCGATTAGGAAGGATTACTTGGTCGCGGTTGTGATACTGATTATCATAAGGTATACTCTTATAACATTTTGGACTCGGCAGGATGTCGGCTTTTAAATGCATTTCTTTTCAATCTCCTGTAGAAAGCGTGCTCGGTAAAAAATGACTACTTAAGTAACATGCCTTTTTTCCATTGATTGTTGATGGTCTTGGAAATTCAAATATATTTTATAGAAACCACAAACAAAAATATGCTTTCTTTTAGTCAATCAGTAGAGAATCGCGTCTATTTTGTATCTTATACTTAAGGAAGAAGTATAATTAGGTTTTAAAAAAGTTTTCTAATTGCCGAAAAATTTGGAGCCTGATCATTCGTTGCATTAGCGCTTAGTGATTACACTCTGCAAGGTGCATGCGTTCCGCGTAAAAAAAATCCCATATTTTTCTATGTTATTAAAGAGATATCATACAGAGTCCATAAAATTTTGCAGTGGATGCGGACCATGTTGTACATTTTATGAGGAGCAGTGGTAAACGCCCAGGTACGATGCTATGTGAATGGACATATTGCGGCCTTAAAAAGTCTCCTAATTAGAAACTTTTTTAAAACCTAATTATACTCCTTCCTTTAGTATAAAATATAAAGAAGACGTGATTCTCTACTGATTGACTAAAAGAAAGCATATTTTTGTTTGTGGTTTCTATAAAATATATTTGAATTTCCAAGACAATCAAAAATCAATGGAAAAAATGCATGCTACATAAGTAGTCATTTTTTACCGAGCACGCTTTCTACAGGAGATTGAAAAGAAATGCATTTAAAAGCCGACATCCTGCCGAGTCCAAAATGTTATAAGAGTATACCTTATGATAATCAGTATCACAACCGCGACCAAGTAATCCTTCCTAATCAAAAACGCATTTCAGAATTTCAGCCAACATTTCATGAGATAGGTCACGCACTGTAAATATAAAAGTAACCATGCATATGTTTCCAGCTGTGTGTTGTGCACAATGCCATCTACGTATAAGAGTTAACTGCTCGATTTGAACAATGTACCGCTGCTTTCTGAGGATGAAAAAGACGAAACATTCAACCCCAAACAACCGCGCATGCGTTTTTTCCCAGTCGTTTTGCAGTTCCCTTTTTCTTTAACAAGAGATTTGTAAACCTATTGGTGTGTGTCAGTGTGTCTAGGAGGGCTGTTCAAATTGTCCATTTGGATAAACAGCTTTTTATAGTAAGCGAGAAATGTTAAAATCCTCCCAAATGCAAACTGGGAATGTCATAATTAGAGTAGCCGGTGATGTTTGCTCACTCATTGGGCAAGGGAGAGTAACCCTGCATAGCCAATCCTAGTTTCTTAAACAAACACAATAACTGCCTAGGTTTTCTTAATATACATTAATTTCTGTGCGCATTTGGACTGTAAATAAGCGTGTTCAAACCTCCCGTAAAATATTCGGACTTCAAAATAATCCAAAATGTCGTCGGTTTATTCTAATAGAAAAGGAACTCTTTGACTCTTCCGAATGATAAAATATATGACAACTAAGAACTTATTCTCGAACAGCTGGTTTGCTTTTGATATCGATATAATTTATTTAGATGATTTCATCACCACTTATGATCGGAAAGAAAGTTAAGCAGAGTCCTACAGTCAGTGACTGTTCTCATGAAATGCTAACCGAAATTCTGAACTGCGTTTCTGATTAGGGAGGACTACTTAAGCAGTGTTGTAGGAATGATTATTGAGCAGGATAATCCCTAGATATGTCGATCACGCTAGGAGGCAGACTTTTAAATGCAACTCTGTTCGGACGATTGCAAAATCGGCAGTCATTAAATATTGACATTAAATAATGCGATTTTTCTGCTGATTTTCGATGCCCTTATGCATTAAGATATATTTATGGAAAAGACACTCAAAAATATCCCTTCCTTTTCCAATCTGGTAGTAAATCGCGTCTTTTTCAAACTTTTTACTCGGACAAAGGTTAAATTTAGGTCTGGAAATCTTCCGACTTCGGGATAATTTTGAGCCCGACTTGATGTTACACCTGCGTTTTGGATTTGAAGTCCCCAAACTTTATACTTTCCATCTAGGGAAAATACTACACTCCTTTATGCTGTTAAGAAGATACCTTATAAGGCTCACAACATCCTTCAATGAGTGTGAGGTATGTCGTATAATTCATGCGCAACCCAAATGAACGAACAGACAGGATGCTAGTTGAGTGAATGTTCCACGGTCCAAAATGTCTCATAAATACAGCCTTTTTAAAAATCAAAGTTTACCCCTTCTTTGAGTATGAATTCGATAGAAGACCTTACATACTGCCAAAGGAATGCAAGAAATGATATTTTTTGAACATGTTTTCAATAAAAAATTTAATTTATGAGAGCATCAGAAATCAACAAAAAAATCCATGCTGCTCAAGTAACCGCTTTTTAGCGAGTCCGGTGGTAACAGGGGACCAAAAAGAAGTACATTCAAAGGCGTACATGCTTCAAAAGCGTACGCTCGGCGTCCCTGATGGTTGTGATTTTTCTCCCCCGTAAACATTTACAGGAGAAAAAAACAGCAGCCACTTTTTATTTTCCTAGACTCCTTTCTTCACTGCGTCAACTTCACTTGCTTCCGTAAAAGCCCTGATCCAAAATACCCTGAGTGATTTCTTGTTCGCACAAACTTTTGTCTCAGTGCTCGAAGTACGACGGAATATGACACAGAAGAGCGATCTTCATTCACCAGCGAAGGGGACGGCTACTTCCGTTGGAGCCTGCTAAGGTCATGTAGGGAGTTCGAAGATTAATGAGGGCATTTTTGCCCTTGAGAATAATTACCCACTCCCAACAATCATGTTAGGACTACGCTCCTTGCCAGAGGCAGTAAAGATTGTGTAAAAGTACAAACTAACAACCTATTCGGCCTTTCTTCAAAGTGAACCGACTTGGAAAATTTCTAACCTGTTGCTGATATAAATGTCAGTTTCAAGAGGCCATAAGTTAATATTGTGGATCAAGTAGCATCTGATATAGGCATTAGGGTGATTTGGAAGGAGGCTGCAGAGACGTCAATGCTCAGTCAATGAACATTGCAGTGTCCAGATAATCAAAAAATACGAAACAGTAAAGCTTATGGAAAAGCCTTCTCTTTCTGTGTTTTTTCTGCAAATATTTCTATCGACAATTAATTTTAATCAGACGTCCTTAAATTTCCCTTTATGAGCGCCCAGTCGTAAAGGCAAAGCTCATGAATGAAATCATTGACTTTGGTCAGTTTAGCATTCTTGTTTCTAGTCTTACCGTTAACAGATTTTCTGAGGGGTAGCACATGCAGCGCGTCGATTGTAAGGGAATATTGCTGTGAAAACGACCACCTGACTATCTGCCGGAGAATAGAAACTTCGTTTGTAGACCTCCAATAAGACTCCCCCTAACAGACCCACGACAACGACTTCCTTTCTCAAAATTAACCGGTCACAAGATGACCATCAGAAATTCCTTGTTAACTCGGATGATGAGCCTGAATGCCTCAGTTTTAGGGCCAAATTGTCTGTCAAATTGGTAAGTCTGACTTATATGGCCCCCTAAACATGACATGGGTAAAAGAACCGCCTGCAATACGTGTGGCTGTGAGCCAGTTTCCAGTAAAATTAAGGTTAGGTTTGAGGTCAGGGTTAAGACTAACTTAAGGAATAGGTTTAAGGGTGGATTTAAAGTGGACGGTAAGGCAAGTCAGAATCAAGTTTAGGGTTGACTGTAACTTTAAAATTTAGGGTAGGGTCAGGGTCAAGATTAGGACAACTTTTTAATTTTATATTAGGTTTATTGTTGGGGTTAAGACACAGGAATATTCTCTCCTTTTCGGAATTATGCGAAAGTCCACCTTTATTACTTGGGCAGGCGTATCCAATCCCATTCCCTGTTTAGGGCGGCCATATTAGTCAATTCCGCCGTTAAATTTTAAAATAGAGTTTGTGTCAGATTGCAGATAACTGAAATGCACTGAGGGGGAGAAGCGATCGCTCTAACAAGAATTCTGTTCACCGGACGTTCCACATTTTCACTTGTTCCAGCGGTCGCAACTTCTTCTCCCTATCTTCTTTCTAGAACTCACCTTTTCGATTCAATTTGCAATTAATGCCGTTCCTGATGTTCTTAAATTGAACATTTGCAAAGGGTAATGCTGATGTAGGGGAAAAGTGCCTTCGACCTACGTGTACTTAAGAGTACAGAGCATTGGTATAAACAGGGTCATTGAATATCTCTAACATGTACACCCTTAAAATAGCATTTGTACTAACAGTTCTACCTAAAATACTACGGCCATATTAAGGCCTTAACGTCTTAGTTAAAGGCTACCACATTTTCCTCTACCATTAGGTCGGGTGTTTGAAATCATTTCTGTATAAGCGGGCATTCCTTGTCAATCAGCCACTCTTGTGTGACTCAAAACTTTCTCCTAACTATAACAGGCGACTCAAACTACAGGCGTCATTTTTTGAGAACAACTATCACTTCTTACTTAAGCCTACCTTTGTCCACAGTAAAAAAAATTGAAGCTTGTTTTAAGGCCATGTGTGCTAAATATATTTACTGTTTATATACGCATTAAGCATGGTGGGACATATTACAGATCCTTTATACAGTAGGTGGGCTAACTCGTGAAATGTCAGTCGTAATTTCGAAATGCGTTCACGTTTCGAAAAGATTAACTAAGTACGGTTGTAAAACTTATCATCATGCAGCATAATTCTATAATGATCCTGTTACCGTAGGGTGTCGGCTTTCGAATGGACTTATTTTCGACTGTATGCAAGAACTATACTCTGTCAAAAATGACTACTTAAGTAGCATGCAATGTTCTCATTGATTTCCGATGCCCGTAAAAATTCAATTATATTTCATGGAAAACATACATAACAATATTCATTCTTCTACTATCACCTTAAAACCGATCATAAGGAATGCTTTCGCCACACCCTCTGAAAGTCGGGCTGATCTTATTATTGCATAGGTCGACTCAGCCGTCCATGTCTGACCTACATCGGTTTTTCCCTGCTTTCGAATTTTACATTTGCTCAAAAATTTATTTAATATTTATCATGCCGTTTGCAGCTGGATTTATTTAGCATGAATAATTTATGCTTTGATTTCATTAAATATACATCAACTACGTACCCATACTTTAGAATTGACAGCGTCTGACAAGCATTATTCGTCTCGTTGAACTAAAAAGTCAGTCAAGGTCTAAACTAATCACATTAAATATCTAAATGCAACGAACCTCCCACTTTCGACTAAAACGGGGCCAAAAAATTTGAATCTGACTGGCGCATATAAGTTGGGCGCAAGACGTTACTTTTTATGCAGGTTCTCTAACGGGCTTATCATGTTTAATTTATTTGTTCCCCATAATTTGTCATCTGAAATGTGTCTCTGTTTTTTCTATTTACTGAGGGATGGGGTTTTTCTTTGTGCCCTATGGCAGTGTTACCTCTGCGGAGAAAGTATCTATCCTAATTTTATTTTTAATTATTTTTTGCTAGTATTAAATGAAACATGAGCTGACCCTTCACATTTACTGTACAGAATAGTAAGCAAAATTTATGTTACAAATGATGTCGTAGTAGCGTCAATAAAACACGATAACCTGCTAGGACCACAACCTCTGATTTCCGCCTTCCAGGGGTCGTCTTGATCGTTTCCAGTACTGAGGCTGTTTGCCTAGTTTATTTTAATTCTAAAATACCTTGTTTATCGAATAACAAATAAAAGCGGGCCTTTAACCTATATTAGCAAGATAATTCACAACAAGTGCATGAAACACGTTACTAGGCACACTGGGAAAATACAATTCTTAGGCCTGTAATCAAGTGCGGCTCCAGGCAGGCACTGGAGACGGTAGACTGAGGAGCTCATTCATCCATTTTAGAAGAAAAAAACGGCAAAATACCCCGGCATCGTTTTTTTATTGACTTTGCAACAGAATTATAGAATCAGGTAGTTAAAAAGTTACTTAAAGCGATATTTTGGCAAACATTATGAGATGACCAATCATGATTAGCCTTTGCTGCATGACTTGGTTAAGGTAATATTACTTTTTCCAATGCTGCATAATAAATTATTTGTACTTTTCAAACAATGGGAATGTACAATATAAAACTTGATAATTGTTGTGAAAAGGGCGAATTTGAATATTTTTGAATATTTAGGAGCTCTTTTTTAAATTCTCGACGTGAAAATAGACGGCCCACCCGCCAAGGATGGACTGTGAGATTTTATCTCGTCGATTCACGTTTTTTCTGAAACACAGGAACATCAGAGATAACGTATAGTATTTTGTAGAAATTGTCCTTAGTTCTTTACTATCTTACTGGACGAGCCGTTAATGCAACTTAACCCTAAAATTTCGATTTAGATCAAATGTATGGTTCCACCCATACTGAAATTAGAAACGGGAGGAAGTGTACTAATTTGTTCTATGGAAATTTACTCAGAAAAGTGTTGCCGTGCACGGCGCACTTTTTGACAACCCTAATACTCGCCTGGGGTTCAATAGCACTGAACTGCATATTCCCTTCAAAATTTGGTGAAATAATAACTATTGAGTCCGTTTCTTTATCGACATAGCAGTTTTCGTTTGTAAGCAAATGAGCCCGTTTTTGCCACATCTCCCGGTAAATTCATTAGCGAAGTGATATAAAATAAAATGCGCAAACTGATATACTACTAAGAATTAGCTTCTCTGAGGTATTCTGCGCGTCGCATAAGGGCATCCTTAAATAATGATTAAGCATTTTGCCCCTCTTTGGTGACAGCACTGACAAAGAAACGCGAAAATTCTAATTCTCAACCAATGTTTGCGATTCGTGTGGGAACTCCAGTGACTGTTGAGGCTTGTATACGTTTATTTCTGTGGAAAAATTTTCTAACCTTTCTTTACTGCTGAATATGCGTCTAGACAAAGTACTTTCTGGTGTTTTCACTCTCCGTTTATGTGTCATTTGAAGGTAATTTAGCAAATTAACTAGCCATTAAAAAGGCAGGTTCACTCACCTGAATATCGCAGTCGAGAGTACTCTTCAGGCAACCCCTCATAGGTCTCAGGGTAATCTTGCCAGGAGAAAGAATCGAAATGAGAGCATCTCACGACTGCGACTAAGCCAACTATGAAAAGGACTTTTAGCATATTTCAGTAAGTCCAGTGGTGTTGTTTACCGGCCACCTTTCGCGTCATGCGAGTAGGAAATTTTGGGTTGACTGCATTCTCTGGTTTCAGCGCATCCCTGTCCGTGGAGCGACATACGGACAGAGCACGGTTAGCGGGTCTGTCAGACCACACTTCGCCCCACTGGAACGCGCGCGCATCGCATCGATTGATTGCCGCTCATGTGACCCGTCAACTCCGCTTCCACTTCCTTTTTTTAGCCTCAGTGACGGTCTCGCCCAGGAAGGCAGGCCAAAGTTATTTGGGCTGTGCGGTGAGTGCTTTTCATTTCTTCAAGCAAAAGCCTAACTCGAAAAATGAAATCAGAAAATCTTGTCTGAGTAGATAGTAACAGGGGATAAATCGGTATTTCATTCAGTAACAAGGTGTTGAGTTAAAACCTTTGCAGGCCCTGGTATACCGTAACAAAGCTTTCTGTGAGGGCAAGATTTTGTTTGAGCAATTTTTCACGGGCAACGATCGTTCGGCGTTTGGCACTCTTGACTTCGTCAGCAGCATCGGCAGCTTGTCTACGCATACATTGAATACCACAGTCTCCAAGGTGCAGTAAAAACTTGCGCGGGAAGTGATTTATGAGTAAATAGGCAAACATAGTATCTACCTTTCTCTTCAAACACTCATCACATTCAATTGTTAAGAATGGGTCTAACTGACTGGAGATTAAAGTGGACGAAGTGATTGATTTGGCTGATTTCGCGGTGTACCAAAAACGTGCCGGTCGCACCACACACACACATGAGCCAAACTTTAGTAAAAGAGTTATAAGTTCACTCACTGAAAAGAGATACCATAATGGCCATACTGATTAGGGAGGGGAGAGTCATTGAAGCCGGATCTTCCGGTCGAAGGGAAACAGGTTTTCCTTATGTTGACAGCCTCCTACGTCACGATTTTTAGCAAATGGTCCCTAACCAAGGTAGAATAATTTAGTTTAATGGCACAACCAGGCATTTTGTGAAATCCACCCCCCGCTCTATCATCATCTGCCGGGGGAAATCCTGGGGTAAGATGTGGTTTGGTAGCCCCACCTGATGGACACAGTACTGTTGGGGTTGGGGTTAAGGGTTATGGTTAGGGGTCATGGTTGGGGGTTAGGGTTAGGGGTTGGGGTTTAGGATTAAGGGTTGTAGTTAGCGGCTAGGGTTAGGGTTAGTGGTTAGAGCAACTTTTTCTCAACCATCGAAAGTACAACCAGGCACTCCTAATAGCTTTTATTTTGCATAAATCTACTTGACCTCGTCGCCTGTGCGTTCCCCGGCTCCACCTGTAATAACCTCTATTACCACCGGTCACGTATTACAGGTCCCTGGGGTCTGTTTTCCTCAGGTGGGGCTACCAAACCACATTGGACCATTCCTGGTCCAATGTAAGTGGACACAGTGACCGATCCGACGTAAAGCCCACCTCTAACTGATGTCACAATATGCACGAAACATGTACAGGTCTCACTTAACGGCTGTCTAATGCCTGCTACACGCCTACATGGATCCATTGTGGACTCAATGCTACAACATTGCCCTTTTTGGGGGCTGGACAAACAAGGCCGGACACATGAAAATTTCGGGGATTATTACTAACCCGTAAACGTGTTAAGACAGATCATGGAAATGAAGGAACTCACGTGAGCTGTAAATGCCTTTTGCGAGAGAGGGCAGAACTGTTGACCTCTTGTGGAGTTCTTTAACTGTGGACTCTTGCTGGCCCCCCTGATTGGTGTGGGAGTTAGAACAATTTCTTTTCTCCCAACAGGTCGCATAAGCCCATGACTGCCTTTTGAGATACCTGAAGATGCCGCTGGAGTTCTTTTCAGATTTTCGAATGAGCTGTTCTTACATTCACTTTCTAAGAGACAAATATAAAGTTGTGAACTATAACTCAACTGCAGCATCAAACTTGATATCAGAACACAAACCTAGTCGATGAGAAAACTAACCTGCAAGCCTCCCAGGTAGCATAAGACTAACTAGAGTGGTTGACTTACCATGGTAGAAACATGACCAGTCAACTTTTTCCCGACTGTCACCCTTGACTATAGCGTTACTTGGTTAAGTTGGAAAATCACAGTCCACTATCATGGGGGCTGTTGTAGAGAAGGAACATGTAAGGCTAGATAAAGCGTCCATCGACTGACGGACACCAATCAGAACTGTCCGAAACACGTTTAATGCATCTGACACACGTCGAATCTCCTAATCCACAGCTATTTGCCAAGGACCCTCGCTTGTATGTTCATGAGGCCAGGTTAAACGGTGTTAACGTGCATATTTAGTTGTTTTTGCCAAATTGGAGCCGCGCTAGAACAATCTGAGGCAATAGAGGCAACAGTAGACGCTCAAGAAACCTAATACAGTCAAAAATACCGCCATCTGGTCTGTCATCCGGGGTCACTTTGGTGGAATTTCGGACATACCAGATCGCGAAAGCCAAACGAAGGACATAACGGATGATCTGGAGTAATGCAAACACCTTCTGTCGAAAGAGGACGAGTATCTAGTCCGTCAAATCGACAAACCTCAGACAAATGTCTCTGATAACTTTCTAAAGAGCATGAGAATAAACTTCATTTTCACACAGTAGCATCTCTTCAGAGTACACAAAAGTAATGGGTATATTCTGTCGGCCCAACTTCTTCTATGGGTTTTCGGCGGCCACTGTTAGCCCATCGCTTCCTCAACAGAGCGAATGGTTGGTGCTTTAGGCTCCCAAGGTTATGGTATATTTTGGGTTTGTCTCAGTTTCCCCTCGCACGATGCAACAGTTAATGATGGAACTCATGACGAAATGTTAGAGGAAACGTTGAGAGTGAAATCCAACTCTTCTTCTCTGTGTCAGCTAGCGTCGCCTTAAGAGTGGGGAATCTAACACGGCGACATTCAGAAGGACAGCAGGCGCGCGATAAATGCAGAATTCCTAAAGAAATTACCCGTTTTTTATGCAAGATAGCAGTTTCGCCGAAGAAACACAGCGGAGTAATGGGGGGGGGTCGATTGTCGCCAAATTGGGAAGATTGTGTTCGGTCTACCTGGAGACAAGTACACAGAGCGAACAGAATATGCCCGCCGCCCTAGCTGTTGACGACTCTCAGCACGACTGTCTCTAACGACGTGGTTCAGCGTGCGACTTTCACCTGAATTAGTTTATTGTGATAGTAGGATTGCGCTGCATCTACCGCACTTATCTCCTCCTCATTCTGTGCCAACGTAGAGTCGAGGAGACCAAAGGTAGAATCAGGTGCAGGCGACTGGCGCGGTCTGAACCCGCGTCTAGGCGTGCCACCACACCCCTGGTACGCGCACACAGACCGGGATTTCACGCAACAAGGATTGAAGGCAGCTCGGAGGCCATATTAAAATGTGTCTTTGCAGCCGGACCCTCCGTCCTGAGAGGAAGACCAAGTTGTCCCTCCAGGTGGAAGCCTCCCAAGGCACGACTTTTAGCTCGCCATGATGGTTTAAAAGTGCGTCAAATTGTTAATAGTGAGGGATATACGCTGAGTGTCATGGGAACGCAACCCGCGGAGTTAACCTCACTCTTACCCCTCTCTTGGACACTATTCCACTGTCCGAACTGGTCAGTTACCTGATGCAGGGATTGGACGCAATGTCTGACAGAGCCAAAAAACCCGCCTGCGCGTGCTACGCACACCACCAGCTCCCCACATAACACGCCGAGATTTTACGCGAAAGAGTGAGAACTTCTAGATTTTGATGCTTGGGGGTGCCATAGGGACCACGTTAAGGAGCCGGTGTGCCTAATCCTCAGTAGGCCAGTCAATCACTACATGCGTAAACATGTACTGGGCTGATTGCAAAGCCTGAGCTGGATCATCAGTTGACAACCTTCCGAGTCACGGTTTTTAGCGCATCGGGATAATTTCATACGCATCAGATGGTTTATAGTGCGGAGTATGTGCTGAGAGAGTCGACCTTACTTCCTCTCTCTCCTGTCCAGGTATCAACCCACTGTCCAAGTCGGTCAACAAACTTATGCTGCAATTGGAAGAGAAGACAGAGTTAAAAACACCCCGCCTGCATGGGCCACACAGGCATGATCGCGGGGTCGAGTCCTAGATGTTCAACACCTCGAGACCGGGTATGACTGGCTGACGATGGCTAATAAGCCAGAAGTGGCCATTCCAGTCTCCCTTGTCTTTGTCGGGTAATGTTACATCTGGAATCCCATAGATGGGATGGACTGCTCAGATCTTACGTGTGTTAGCCCAACAGAGGGCATTCCTTAGGTGGAGGTGCTTGTCCGCCTCTGCGGTGAAGGATATGGGACGAATGCATATGTGATGTATGTGATGGGGAATGCGTGATGTATTGTGGTCCGTGGTGGTTTACTGTAGATTAGCATGGAGGCGCACGCAACCGAGTCGATCCTCGCGATATTTGAATATGCGTGGGCCGTGCGAGCAGTTGAGGCGATGGCAACGGGTGTATGTCGGTGCTTCTAGTATTGGCTCACCAGTTTCAGTACGAAGGGTTCACAGGCGACCGACCAGGCCGATGCGTGAAGTGCGTGTGCCGTTATGATATGAGCGGGGTAGATTTGGAGCCACTGAGAAGGTCGCAGTGGTGATGTCCCTAGCGGTGGCCGCGCTGGTGGATAGGGGGTTGGTGGTGCTGGAGACGGGAGAGTTGTCAGATGTACAAAGTGAACTTAGAATATCGTCATTGCCCTTACTTCCGCTGTCGTGGATACACGTGTGGTCGAATAGGCCCACACGGTGACTGAATGTGCTGGACGGTACGGACAGTGGACGCGGATGCGGCTTTGGTGCGCCGGTTTTGATGCGATGAATTTGCAAGCGATCGACCGGGCCGATGTGTGGTGTGAAGGTGCGATAAAACGAGGACAGGTTGGGATTGGGTTCACATTGCTGGTGGTGGGGGGTGGTGCCGAACGAGGAGTCGAGTTTTTCTCATCGGTGATGGAAGTGCAGAGGTGGTAGTCGTCGT